CTTCATGTGGGTAGAAAATTTTGTTATTTTTTTTTGCTAATGGAATAACTCATCTTTGCTGTTGTTCCTAATTTCGAACTGTTTTAGATTTTTGGATCTTTGATCAGTGGTTTCGGTGTTTCGAATTCAGACGTTGATGTATGCTTCCGGTTTCAGCCTGATGAGCAGCCACTGGTATGAATTTAAATTTGTACATTTGCGTTCAGTCTGTGCGGCGATCTGGGTTAATACTGCTGTTGTTTTGAAAGGGCATCCGCGTTAAAAAATGAGGTACTGCTCAAATACTAACGCCAGGATGTTCAGTCACGCAGAAGTGAAGGAAAAAAAACAGAAAAGAAATCCGCCAGAAATGTCATGTAGAATCCCAAGCTGAAAGCTGCTGAACCGCGTTTGTACGCACCTCTCAGGCGCGTACAATGCCTACCTATAATAAGGACTATCTGCTGGAGTGAAGATTTCTTGGCGGATATATCTTCATCTTGTGGCGATTCCGCCATGTCAATTCCCCTTCACTTCTTTGTTAGAACAGTTCTACCTAAATTTGATACGTCATTGATACTTTCCCTTTCCTTTTCTTCTTTTTCCATTTTTTGCGGTGATAGTGTGGTAGCGGTATTTTGTAGGATGTTGACGGCGTGGAAATCGTTCGACAGATAGCTCAACATCTACAGCAAATGAAAGAAGTGGATAAGGTGTATGCAATAACCGGTGCCAAAGTCCCCATTGTGAAATTCAACTGGACAAAGCTTGGTGTGGAAGGAGAGTAAGTTCTGTTCGAGTAGAAAAGGTGCGAAACTTCTGAAATGGACGAACTGTGTTTCAGCATCAGTTACTTATAATGTATTAGCGCTTTCAAATACGGAAATGCTCAAGAAGTACTGTTCGTGGGACGTTCGAGTTGCGCCTCTTGGTGTGTGGATAAAACGGGTAAGTGTTAGAAGGCACCGTTTGGCTTTGTAGGGGCATTCTACTGGTCCCTTGAATCGCATCCTGTGAGGACTTGTAAATTTCTGTAAAGCGCTGCAGAAGCAGGAGCTTCATCCACACTTGACAAGAGCGTACAAGTCTCGCCAAGGTGAGACGTGTAATTCAACATGAACTGGCAGAAGAAACTGGTGAAAGTGCAATATGCCCCACCCCCTAGACTGAGCAGTGCCCTGTTAGCGTACTTGTCTTTGTTTTATCAATTCAGAAAGTGGCATTCGGGAAGGGATGGTGACACTGACTTAATCATCCTTTCCTTGTGAATAACGTTCTCTCACAGAAATTTCTTTATCATGCGGTTCTTCTTGTGACTTTAGCCCTCTTCCTAACCTTTTTGTCGCATCATGCATCATTGCTTATCCAAGTGGAGGTCCTGCAGCTGGTAGGAGGGGAACACGACCGCGCGACGTTTGGGGGGTTCCTCTGCGCCCGAGACGTGGCCGTGCAGAGTTCGGCGTCTGCGCTCTTCTGGGACTGAACTCGGGAAAGGGAATGAATCACTTGCACATTGCCGCGTGACTCTCTGCAACCACAGTGGTCTCGATGTTCTCAAAAGATAGTGTCGGTGGCTAGGAAGCTGTCATCAGATTGAGACAACAAAAGTGTTGTATATCTATCATTCGTTTGCAGTTCAGCGCCAAACGTGGTTCGGCTTGAGGGGAGCATTTTTCCCTTCCTCTAGTTCGTTCTATTAGTTCATGTTGAACAACAGGTCTCATCTTGGTGAGACAGGTGAACTGTGAAGCTGCGAAATTGCACGTTTGAGCCATTTCGTTGACAGAACTTTACAGGTCCTCACGAGGTGGCTCGTAAAAGCTCAGTTGAGTGGCATTCAAGGCCCCTAGACGCCAGCGCTCCATTATTTTCTATTTGTGATCGTAGAGCCATTTAAAGGCACATTCCTTGACAGCGGGGTGGGCGGATCTAGAGAACCATTATGCATTGCTCATTGGTGCGTCTGTCTTGCCGTGGTGATATGCAGGAGGGGCGCGCCAATGAGGTGGGTTTTCTGCTTCGTATTGGAATATTCCTTCAAAGGAGTAATCTGGATGACGTGCGTACGAGGAGGTGCTGTTAGAGCTTGCTCTGCCCTTGGAAAATTTTTTTTCGCAAAGTGCGATCCCTCTCAAATTTTCCTGCTCTGTTCAGCAACCTTCCGGAAACATATTCTCTCGGATGCAAGTGCGGCTTGACTACCATGTGCGGTTGCAGTAGATTTTTCAAATTTCCTCTGTATTTGGGTGCATTTATGAAATGTTTGTAGAACCTGCCCTCAGCGTGGCAAGTTTCCTTTTATGTAACCATGGACGCAGTCAGCATTGAGTGGTTTCATGAATAATTTATAGACTAATTTTCAGTGGGCGAAGTCGTGCGATATAGGAGATGCGTCTCGTGGCTCGCTGTCATCATACGCCTTCATCATCCTGCTCCTCCATTACCTGCAAAATTGTGATCCACCTGTGCTGCCGCGCCTGCAGGAGGTACTGTTTTTCCTGTACTCTTTCTACAAATACGGAGGTTTCCTGTTATTCGTGGTTAATAAGATTTATAGAATCAGATTTTGAGATATGGTCAAACTTTTTCTGAAATCCGAAAATGACTGCGAATGGACTGCAGTGGGAATGGCGTTCCCTTCCACCGCACCAATTTCCCGCCATTGAATCTTCCTGGATTAGTCTCAAGACCATCCTTCGCTTACCCACCCATAGAACACAAATATCGTAAAATGGATTCCGGGGATTGACTTGCTGCTTTCTCTTGCTCTTCTGTGTTAGGTTGACTTTATACGCCACTGAATTTCTTTCTCGTAAGGGTTCACGCCCATTCTGTGGGCGATCTTCTGCCACTGGGAAAATTCTTGCAAAACACGACTTCCCTCCAAAATCTCCTCCTATAGTATAACGCCCCTTTTCCATTCCCCATCCTACCAGTCATCTTCCTGAATTTTTCCAACTTTTCCTACCAGTTCGGTGTCTACATGTTTCTTCTCAAGATTTCTTTTGTTTTCGCCTCCGTACAAGTGCCATCGAGGGGCGCAAATAGCGCATCTGAAAAAGGAAAAACCGAGTAAAGTCAACAACTGGGGACATTTTTTTCTCCACGGCAAAAACGACCTCCTTCCCACCTCGCTGGGGATCCTCAAAGTACGACCTGCGCTGATTCTAATGGTTTTTGAGCGTATGCAGGTAGCCTCCTACCCAGCAGTCCAGGCCAGAGAAGAAAAAAAATTGGCTGAGGCAGGCCACTTCGACTACCTTGGAAGAGCATGGCGACAAATCCTCCATTCCTACTCAAAGTCGAAAATGTATCCATATCCCACGTTCGAAAATGGTGGGTAGGTGGGGCATAACCACTATGATATGGTAGTAAGTAACTCAACAGTGAAGTATGGGAAGAAGGGGAGGGGTGATCGGAGGGATTCTGGCTTGTTGATATCGTGACGATATCAGCCATTTTCACCTGTGGGCCCATCCTCACCATTCGGAATGGAAGGAGTTAAAAACAGCTTAACCACACAATGTGAACGCCTTCAGAAATAAACATTGGGTGTTGTGGAGGGCAGTGGGCGGGGCATAGCCTTCACCAATAGCAAGTGGCTCCGTTATTTCGCATTTCCGAGCCGTGAAAGCGGGAGACCCTCTGGTTGCAGACCACAGTACCTTGTCCAAGGACGACGTTTGCACATTTGATGACAACGGAACGTGCCTTCAAGCTCAGAGTAGTATTAGCTGTTGGCGGGTCACTTGGCAGTGAGCCAATTCGGGCGACAAACAGCAGCTAACAAAACAAATTAAGTGCTGTTGCACTGTTCTGTTGCGGAGATCCTCGCGAATGATGTCTTCATTGAACCCAACTCTCGCGCATTGTAGGGGTCTCTCAACATTTTTGAAGATTTTCGTGCTTACCTGGGCTTGTGAGGCGCCAAGTGGTACTCCGTGAAACTAATTCAGGCCATCTTCTGAAGACATGTAATTTCCTTTGTCAAAAAAACTCACCAACACCTTCTTGCAAGAATTTGCAGGTCTAACTGAGCTACAACCTCTTAAACTACATAGAATAGGAGCAACAGGAATTAGTGAAATGCGAAATGTCCCTCCCCAGACGGGTAGAGCTGCGAAGTGTTGTGTTAACTAGCAATTGCTTATTTCAGGATTTCCGAGACCCCAGCATGCAACCAATTATCGTCGAAAACTGCGACGTCTACTTCCATCGTGAAGTAATTCCTGGCTGGTCAAAGAATATGAAGACAATTGGAGAGTTGTTTGTCGGTTTTCTCGACTATTATGCGCGATTCGATTTTGGCACGCAGGTTTGTGTATATTCGGTGATTTGGGTTATTGTAGTGTTGATTCATGGGTTTCCCTTATCGTACACCTTTAATCTATTTTGACTGGCTGTTACTGTATGACTTTTGAAAATTTAAAACTCTCTGTTAGTTCTTCTACTTGAGAAATTTGTAAAAGCATTGTGATTTTGTTATGTCGACCGCCTTTCGCTAAATACGACATCAAATGAATGAGAACAGTCTTGAGCAGGTGGTACCTGTTCCAAGAAGGTATTCGCACTTTTACTAGCTCAAAATTCTATTTTTTATTTCACAATAACATCTCAATAACACTCGAAAAAATATCCTATTCAGCAGGATGATTTGTGCAGGCTTACTGAGTCGTTCAAGAAATTGAGAGAAATATCGGCCGAAGCTTTGATAGTGTAATAGCTATCGCATCCACTCGAGAAGTGTTCGGGCACGGGCTTGAAATTCTCGTCGAATGTCCAGTTTTTCTCGTGACCCGACCGCCTCGTGATAATATCCAGTTTCAATTTTTTCCGATTGAACTTCCTTTTACGGGGCAGTCAGCTCGACTGGGTTTTTTTTGTGAGGGATCTATCTATTAAATTTATCTAGATACTTTAGCATATGGTTAGAGGCGATCTAATTTTTTATGTTTTTTTTGAAATTTTTTTCTTTGCTTTTTCATACTGGCTTTCATACTGGCCAGTGTACCTGTTTGAAAACCTTATAGATATAGGCGGTCCAGGTTTTGCAGAAAAGAGAACACTTGCGTTCCATGGTTTTTATTAAAAAAATTATGTAACAGTAAACTGAGAAAAAAATTTAAAAGTGGGACAAATATGAATAGTAAGTTCTCGGGGAAGGTGACGCACTTGTCTCTTTTATAGCACTGCTTTTATCTTCTAAGCGCTCTTATTCCGTTGAATTTTGCAGTAGTTATGTGCCTTTGTTTCCCATAAACCGAATTCCAACCGAGTATAAAACTTTATAAGTTACAATAATATTACAATAACACAATATAATAAACGATTTACTCAATTAGGTTAGCAATTTTGGCAGTTTATTAGCCCTTTGGTGGATGACTCGCTTTACGCCTTGCATATGTCAGTTATCCTAAGTTCTCTGTGAATTCAACAGGTTGTGCAAATTCGACGCAAGAAGCCGTTGCTAAAAATGGAGAAAGACTGGAATCGTTCGATATGCATAGAAGATCCGTTCGACCTCCATCATAACCTGGGATCAGGTGTCTCACGAAAAAGTAGGTTGGCTGCCATCAACCCTCGTAGTATTTTTAATACCGACTCGTTCTCAACATTTGA